ATAGTGTTGGACTAGGATCTGAGAAACTCAGGTTCGAATCCCCCCTCTGCCGTGGAAGCTTGCTGGGTGACCTTGGGCCAGTCACACACTCTCCGCCTGATCTACCTCACAGGGTTGTTGTGAGGATAAAACAGAGGAGAGGAGAACGATGTAAGCCTCTTTTGGGAGAAAGGTGGGATATAAAAATAAATTAATAAGAATAAAAAATTCTGTAACTACTCTACATATAGACAGGTGTGGATGAACAGACATGGAATACTCACCCTTCCCATCTGGCTCTGGTTTTGGCCCTAAAGCACACATCTGGATTTGTATTATTTCACCTGGTGGTAATAAAAGGCATTGCGTGGCTTCGGGGGGGGGTTTTACTTTGGACCTCTGCTACCCACAATCCCCATCTGGAGTCTAGGAGAAGGCAGTGGCTTGCCATGCACAGAGAGTTTTTGTAAATTATGGAGCAGGTATCTGATTGTGTCCCCCCCACACACACCTGTGCACACCACAGCCAGATGGAAAAGGAATTCCTTTGTCATTTTTCTTTTTTTCAGTAGAAACCCTAAAGATGGAGGTTTTGCTTGCAAAGTTTCCAGAGCTGCACGTAACTAGTTTTGTTCTCGGAACAGTTGTGTCTTGCCAATTGCCTCATTATTTTTTATGATTCATTAGGGAAGCGCTCAAGTGCAGGCTTTTTGGTTCACAAAACAATTCAAGGGGTGTAGTGTTTTTACCCCCAAAAAAGAGAGAGAGAGAGAGACAAGGAAACATTTTGCAACCCCTGGGAGGTTGTGATTTAAGGAGAAAAATAGTAGGTCAGAGCAGAAACGTGAGCTATGCTTGATACAAACAAAGCAGTTTAGAAGTGATGTGCTCTTGAAGACTCACTTTTTATTTTCAATATATATGTATTTCAGGAAATCCCGAACATGTGTTAGCAATCCTTACAGGGATATGAATATGACTCAAGGTTTGGCTTCTGACGACTTCTCTGTATAGTGTTTGGAAGGGAGGGGTCTCCAGCCAGGAATTGGGCCAGTGGGGGACAAGATGCTTGGGGCGAGCACTGCAAGCAAAGGCTCAGTGGCAGAGCAGCTGCTTGGCATGCAGAATGTCCCAAGTTCAATCCCTGGCATCTCCACATAAAAGGACGAGGTAGGAGGTCCTTTTGGCAAAAAGCAAAACCAAAAGCGCAGGAACTCGAGAGAACTCCAAGAATGGAGCCCAGGAATGGAGCCGATTCCTCTTCCACAGCCCAAAATGCGACCCACAAACCCTGAGCTTGCTTTTTCTCATTTGCGAGTCTGGCCTCCGCACTCCTTTAACGAGGCAGCCCTGAAGCTTGGGGCGGCAGGAGTTTCTTTGCACGCAGCTTATGCGGCTGGCTGAGTGCCTCTTCTACTTGCCCACCTCTCGCCTCTGCACCTCATCTTCTGCCAGGCATGGAGGAGCCCAGCTCGCCCAGGCTTCTTGCCTCCTGCTGCCTTGGCCCTCTGGTGCACGGGTGAGTCCCCAAAGTTTGACTCTTCCTCTACAAGTCTCTAGCGCTGGAGGTATTCGCCTCCTTCCCTCCTGCCTGCTATGGCTGCATAATTGTGAGAGATTTCTTAACATAGTGTTCCTGCCAGGGAAGCTGGGGACCCTGCCCATGAGTCTCCATTTCATCCTCACAACAACCCTGTGGGGTAGGTTAGGTAGAGAAGGGGAGATTTGGCCCGGAGTCACTCAGCCAGCTGAGTGAGAATACAAACCTTGGTCTCCCCACATCAATCTGCAACTCTGACCACTGTGCAGTGCTGCCTCTACTGACCTGTAATGTTCCACAGGTGTTGTAATGTAATACTCAGTTTCTCAAACGAGTGTATGCCTGTCTGTTGGTCCACTTAGGAGTCTTGATCCTGGTTGTGTGGTGGGCTAGTTGTGGCAAATGGTAGGGAAGCTCAGTATTTCTGTATACAGTTGTAGGGGCTTTATTGCAATGTGCTATGGCCTGATATTATGTTCTTATTCCAGTGTGGAGTGTGTGTGAGGCAATGGAAGCTGAGTGATAGGGTCTCTCCAAGTGATTGCCAGAAGAGAGATGCGTCCTGGTCTTGTGTCTTACAGATAATCTTACAAATAGTCCTTTGCATTTATATCATAATGCTGTTTGTGTGAGAGGTAGAGCAGGAAGGGTTGCATCAGTGCTTAGTTCTTGTGGCCCCTTCTTACACGCCCAGGGAAATGCTGATCGCCACTTTGGGGCCAGGAAGCAATTTTTCTCCAGGCCAGTTTGACCCCCAGTGATCCTGGAGG